TTTCAGCTGCAGGCAGGAGGGTTTTTTTTTTTTCTTTTCCATATATTCTTCCTGTGCAGACGGAGAAGTTTCCTTCTTGACTCTGGCCGGCTTTGGAGGTTTGTCCCATCTTGGAAAGGGGCTTGGGGCGCTATAAAGCAAAGGAATAGGGTTTCTTCTTTTGGGGGGAATGGTTGTTAGTCTTCATGTGTGAGCCTAGAATCCAATACTTTATTCTGATGGAAGGACTTTACCTGCTGAGGAAAGGCTAGGCAGAGTTTTATTATGAGTTGAAAGGTTTTATCTGGTTGTTAAGGTAGCTTGTGTTTATGGAGGCATTTCTGGCTGCAGGCCTTCTTCCATTTTTTACACCTTTCTGTCCTTGAGTTCTCTTTCCTGACTATAAATAAGACTTGCCTCAAGCTTGTCTGGGTTTTGTTCCTAGGACTAAGTGCCAAGCCTTCCACATTTCTCTTATTTGGAGTTTTGGCACGGGACCGAAAGAGAGTATCTGTTTTGCTCCCTTATCTCTGGGTCTCAAAGACATCCAGGAAGGTTCAAGTAGCCCTTGGCTTGGTTGGGTGGGTGTGTGAGGAGGGGGCACCCCACTGGGTGGGTTGTTTCCCTGCTGGCCACAGTGTGGGAAAGAGGGTCCTGCCCTCCAGCCACCCTCTGCTTTTCCAGAAAGTTGCTGTAAAGTCAGGCTGTTGCCTCAGGTGGTGGCACATCATGTGTATGTATGTGCACACGCACACTGTGTCATGCAACACAACTCCTGAGATGGCCTCCTTCCCTCAGGTGTGGTGGAAGAGGCTGTCCACCTGCCAGTGATGAAGAAGAATTCAAGCCAGCTTTTGTCCATAGAACGGGAAGGGATGCGAACTTGTTCAGCTCCATCCTCCCTGGGAAGGGTAAGGGGACAGTGTCCTCCAGAGGCACCCTCCGATTAGATGTCCAGCCATCAGGAGTCCACTTAGCATGACAAAGGAGGACATTAGAAGGCTGCCTCAAGCTATAGTCTGGCAGGGGAAGAGTCGGCCAACAGCCATGGACCTGTGGCAAGGTGTGAGGCCCCACCACAGGTATGTTCCCAGCGGAATTCTGCCCAGGGTCATGGTGCGTGCGCCTTGGAATGCCACAAGAGCATCTCCCCTGGTATGTCACTCATTACATCACTAGTGGCCTTATATAACTCTGTAACAAGTTGGCACAAGCACAATCAACCTCCTGCTCACTAAGTCATGATACATCCAATGTGCTTGGAGCAAGGGATGAGTCTCCTTTATACCAGGAGGCTGTTTCATTCAGAGACATCTATAATCCGGAAAATACTCTAGATCTTCTGGAGCAGTGATTCTCCAGGCTGTGGGTAGCTGAGATATGTGCATACCTGCCCCTGCCATCCCAGGCACGCTAGGAAGTAAGCCCTGATGAACTCCATGGGACTGACTTCTGCATAGAGACACTTGGGGAGCCATGGAAAGATTAACGGGACCAGACAGTTGGAGTGGACTTTGAGGGTCCCCTTGTCCAAACACCTGCTCAGTGCGGGATGCTCTTACAGCATCCTTGCCCACGGGCCAGTGTCCCCCCCGCCCCGAAATGAGGGAGGCGACCCTCCCACTCATGGAAAAGCATGTCCTACAGCACCCTCTCCCCAGGGATGTGCATGCAGCAGTGTCGTCTTCCTCTCGTTATCCCTCTCCGCCGCCGCTTCCTCGGCCGTGTCTAGCTTTCAACTGTAAGTTCTCTGGGACGGGGCCCAATTAAAATCATTATTACAGAGACAACAGCAGCTCTTTGGCTGCTTCTCCTCCTTGTTCATAATCCCCTATTTATTTGCTTGCTTTTGTTCTAAACCACCCAATAGCTGAAGCTATCTGGGTGGTATACATATAATTTCCCAGTAACCAATTAAAAATACAGAGAAAATAAACAACATAAAGAAAATCATGATCCAGCAAAATGGGCCCAGAGGACTATAGCTAAATCTTCCTTGTTCATAAGCAATAATATTAATAACTGCAAACAAAGTGTAGTTATTGAATCCGGTTTAAGTTGGGCTGATAGCCTATGTCCTAACATTTCCCATCCAGGAGCCTTCTGGATGTTTTGGACTATAGCACCCAGCATCCATGGTCACAGGCTATGCTTGCAAGGACTGATGGGCATCAGGAGGACAGCAGGTAAGAAATGCCAGCGAAGCCCAGTTTCCTGGGAGTAACTCTTGTTGAACGCAATGGCACTTGCTTCTGAGGTGGCCTGCACAGGACTGTGCAGCCCGTCACACTGCAAGCGTAACATGGATAACTGGGTATTGTCTGATTAGATTAATGAAGCAACAGATCATGTGCAGCATGCTTAGTGAATGACTTCTTGGGGAGGCCTCGATTGCCTGAACTAGGAGCTTGCCCATAATCCATTGGCCAGCATCTCTCTGAAGCCACATTGTAAGGACGATGGATTGTGAATGCGCAGCAGCCCCGCTGTCTCTCCATTTGGCACATAAATGTGTCCTGCAAAACATGTACAGAAACAACCCTTGCGGCAGATTTTAATCCACTTTGGCATAAGAGAGTAGGAAACAATTGTCCTAGGAAACCATCATTCCCCATTCCGTTCTGCAAGCCCCGCACTTGTGGGGTTGAAAGAAAGGGAAGGGCAGGAGTCCCGCAACATGATGTGGGAAGAAACATAAACAGCCCACCATAAACCCTATTGCTCAGGCTTTTCTAGCACAGGGCTCTTGGTCTCCCGGGAGTCATGGTTACATTCTGGCAGGAACAATCTGATTCATCAGGTCACTGTGGCCTGTTCCTTGCACGGGGATGTTGGGTTCCCTCCTGTTTCTCATCTTCCTGGGATCGCAGCTGTAGAAGCTGAGGGCAAGCCTCAGAGAGATGGCTCCGGGCCAGATGTGTTCTCCAAGGTATTCTTCTCAGCCTCACTGTTTTGCATGGGAGACTCGTGAATGCGTCAAAGCGGGATGGTTCAACTCTCCTATGCTGCAGCCTTTGGGACCCGGCGCCCTCCAGATCTTTCGGACCACAGCTCCCACTTTGCTGGCGATTGGCCCTGCTGGCGAGGACTGGATGATAGGAGCTGAAATTCCAAACCTCTGGCAGGCATAGCATTAGGGAAAGCTGGCTATTCTATTCTATTCCTATTTCCTACTTTTGACAAAGTCCGTGCTCATGTCTTGCTGCGGAATTTTATTGGGACAGGAAAGCGTTCCTGTTCTTGATTGTGCTAGAGATGTTGTGGTCGAAGTGCTGGACTTGGGACCCCAGAGACTGGGGTTCTCGGCTCCAGTCAGGCATGCTGCTCACTGGGGGGCTTTGGGATTGTCAGTGCCTCTCAGCCTAGCCTACCTCACAGGGTTGTTGTGAGATAATATGAAGAGGAGGACTGTGTGAGCCACCTTGCATTCCTTGCAGGAAAAAGGGTGGAATAAAACTATAACACAATATAATTAAAACCATTATGAATGAATGAAAATACTGACAATGGAGTGGAATCTGGACATAGGATGCAATTCTATGCAGGTTTTGATGGGATAAAAGACCTCTTTTCTGTCTAAACCTACACAGAATTATATCTCTGGTCATACTCTGAGTAGACCAGCTGAAATCCATGGGACTTGGAATCTATTTTGCATTGGATCGCGACATCCTAGCTCAACAGCAAAGGATGATGGGCACTGAAGGCCAACATCCCAGTCCAATGGTGGTGCAAAATTCAAATTATGGCACACACGCATTCAATTCCAGAATTCACTGTTGAGCGATCTAGTGATGGGCACAACCAGGGTGGCTTTAAAGAGGGATTAGGCCAAGTCTTGATGGCTATGGCTGGCCTCCACTAGCAGAAGCAGGTTGCTGGGGCACATCGGCATGACGGTGACTCATATCCTGCTTGGCAGGTTCCCACAGGCAGCTGACCGTGCATGGCGTGAACAGAATGTTGGACTGGGTTCCAGGCACTTAACCTCTGCAGGGAGAGAGCTGCCCACCCTGCCTCCCTTTAAAATACCACCCCTCACTTCTGGGGGCCAGGGGGCACTTCCTACCATCCAAGCTTTCAGTTGTGAAGCACCGAACTTGCCTTCCCTCCCACATGCTTTAAAACTGTTTTGGGATTGCAGTTTATAAGAACGTAAAAGCCCTGCTGGATCAGGCTCAGGTCCATCCTGCCCAGCGCCCCCCACCAAGGTGGGAAAGCGGCTGGCCGCTGGATCCCTCCAGCAGGACGCGCAAGACCTGCTCCTGGCCAGCAAGGCCGGCAGCCACGCACAGGCCTCCTTCCTCATGGATCTGTCCAACGGCCTTTCAAAGCCATCCAGACTGGCAGCCATCACCACTTCCCGTGCAGGGAATTCCGCAGTTTAATTATATTTTAAAGGAAAAAGAAAAGTCCTTCCTTTCACCTGTCCTAAACCTCCCACCTGTCGCTTCATGGGATCACTTACTCCTGACTTGCTCCACATGACAGAGGGGCTTCAATCAGTGCGCCATGTCTCCCCTTCCTCGCCCCTTTCCCTAAGCTGAACAGCCGTTGTCCCCAGGCGGGCTGGCCCAGGCCCCCGATCATTTTCACGGCCGCCCTCCGTCCTCTCCAGGCCCAACGGTGCCCTTCCAGGTGAGGGGACCAGAACTGAGCACGACACGCTCAGTTAGAACACGGGCAAGACTTTTCCAAGCCTGACCCAGAATGGCACCCGCAGGGCCCGGCCAGGCCTGGGCAGCTTCGCCTCGAAGCCATCCTTCCAGCATCATCCGCTGCCTTCTGCCCTTGACGGTGCCCAGGACGAGGGGCGGCCCTGTCCCTTCCCCGGGGGGGCCAGTTGGGGGCCCCCTGCTCCCGCGACGCCGGGGACGGCTGGCGCCACGGCCGGCGGCTGCCCGTGCGCCTGACTCACGCGCCTCGCTGCGCCTTTAAATGCGGCCCGGGCGCATCCCTCCCCCTTGCTTGGGGTGGCTCGCTGGCGAGCGCTGTCCATAGAGGCTCCGGCGGCCTCTGCTCGGAACGGCGCCTGCGCTCCCGGCGCAAGAGAGAGAGAGAGAGAGAGAGAGAGAGAGAGAGAGAAAGTGCGGGGACGCACGCCCCGCGCCTGCTGTGCGTGCGCGCCGGAGCGCTCGGGCGCCTCGCCGGTCTTTTGTCTGGAGCCAGCGCGGCAGCGCCGCGGCTCCCCTGCGGATCTCCCCCGGGCCGGCGCCGCGGAGGCTTTCGGTGGACCCATTTTTTGGCCACGGACAATAGAGGGGACGCTGCCCCGCCGCCGCCCCGACGAATTCTCGCTAGGGGCCCTCCGCATCTGGGCAGCTGTTCCCACCGAGGGGGAGCGGAAAACAACAACTCTTAAGGTGGACTTGCTCTTAAGGTGGCTGCTGGTCTCTTGGTTCCCCCCCCCCCCCGAACTGATGTGCTTTTTTTAAGGTGGCCTCCTGTTTTTGTAAACTGGGTTGTGTGTGTGTGTTTAAGGTGGACTCTTTTTTTTAAGGTGGATTTTGCCGTCAAGGTCGGGCCTGCGCTGGAGGGCCGGTGCGCGGCTTGCATCAGCCGGTGTGTTAAGGTTGGGATCTCTCCTTTTTTTGGAATCGGCTCAAGCCGCTTAACAGGACGATCCGTCAGCCTCGCCGAGGCGAGCTCTGCGCCTTGTTGGGCTATTCGCACCGGCTTTAATTCGGGCTCTTCCTAACCCCACCTTCGAGGAAGGAAAAGAGCACCCTCCCTTCTCCTGGCCCAAAATAATCCTCGTCATGGGAAAAGTTCGGTAGCCGGGCTCGAACTCGCTTCGTTTCTCCCTTCCCCCCCTCGTAACAATGACTAAATCCCGGCCTTTTTTCAGAAAAAGACCGCCGATGGCCGAAGCAGAGGTGGGAGTTCAAAGCCAGCAACTTAGCTGTCGAGAGCTGGACAGGAGAGAAGCGTTACTTTTTCAAGTTTCTAGTTCTTCTTGATCCTGAAGGAGGGGGCGGGGGAGTCTCTTTTATAAAGTTTTTTTTCCCTAAAGAGAGAGAGAGAGAGGGAGGGTGTTTTGGAGGCCTTCGATTTCCTACCTCTCAGTCTCTCTCCTTTCAACTATACATATATATTTTTGTTGTTAATATCAAGTTTCTTCTCGCATTCATACTGGAGAGTCCAAGGAAGAAAGGCATGGAAACAGTTGGAAAATTTGAGTTCAGCAGGAAGGATTTGATCGGACACGGGGCTTTTGCGGTCGTCTTCAAAGGGAGACACAAAGAGGTAAGCATTTCGGTTTTCACCTTTGTTTGTTTATTTAGTGTTGGGGTTTCTCCTTTGTACTAGTATATGGGTGGTAATTTGGTATTGTGCACGAAAATAGATTGTTTTTATAGCATAATATATACATATAAAACCCTTTCCCCCTGAGTATTGGAAACCAGCTTCTAAAAATATTTACATTAAAGAAATGAAGATACTTTTGTTCACCGCTAGAGCAAAACAATAACACAAAGCTGATTCTCGGGGAAACCTTATGTCTCTTTCCACCAGCCACATATTATAGTCACCAAGAGGACTGTTTTTCTGAGTAAATAAGGTCTGAGTAAGGCTAATTCTAAAGTGTTGCACTCAGAAGTAACAAGATATGTGTCTACTCAAAACTAAGGCCCATTGAATTCAGTGGGGCTTACTCACAGGTAGGCCTGTGTAGGATTGCAGTCCAAGTCACACTAGCTCCAAAAGAACGCTGGTTTTCACGAAATATGTTTAGGGGTCGAAATGCCAGTATCTCCGTGTTGTTCTCTCCTCTTTTCAAAGTAACTTTTTGGAGATTGCATCTGCCTTGGGCTGATGCAAGTATCTGTAATCGGCTGCAGAGAAGTAGGGACTTTGGAGAAGGAACCGGCCTTATCGTGGTGCTTGGTAACATTCAAAGCGGCCACAAGCTGGTAAAAAGCACTGCAGCACTGGAAGAACTAAATATTCTGGGTTGTGCTGCAGCTGTTTATCTAAGCACTTGCTTGGTCACCAAGGGTGACCGAACATCCCACGCAGGTGAGCTTACCCAGCAAATGGCTGGAGGAGCAGCTCCTCTGCTCCCAGCAGGGCAATGCAGTGGAGTGCTGCTGGGTATTCTGCTTTCTGTTGTCATTAGTTTGCAGCGTTTTCTGGACTGCTTTACAAGGAAGTTGTGCTCGACCTCCCCTTAATATAAGAAGAGCTGTATTGGCATGTCTGGCTTCTTATCTTTTCAGATTAGCTCATGTCTCCCAAGTGGCCTTGCATTGTTCTAGGATGCCTTTTTCACCGCTTGTGATTTAAATAAAAGAAACTCAGCCATTTGTGGGTTTTAAGCAGGGAGGAATCACCCATAAAACTGGAAATAAGTTTGGATCCATTCTGTGCTTCAGTGAAAGGTTAATGGAGAGCAGAAAGGTTCAGAGAAAGTAGTCCTTTCCTCTTGGTGGTGGCAAATGCTAATTTGAGTGAAAGGCAAGTCCAAACATGTCCTTGGCATGGACTGGGACAGTGAACCAGTGTTTTCCAACCAGCTCTCTTGTGATTCCAGAATTTGGAGTTTTTTAAAACAGTTTTGCATGTTGGTCTATTAAATAAAATGCGGCTTTGCCCTGCTCTCTTAAAACTCTGCATCTACATTTTTAACTTTCAGAAACCTGATGTGGAAGTTGCAATAAAATGCATTAACAAGAAAAACTTGGCAAAATCCCAGACTCTCTTGGGGAAAGAAATCAAGATACTGAAGGTAAAGATGACCACAGCCCCGAAACAAAACCCGCACATTATTTCTCTGTTGCAACATGTCAACTTAAGCCAATTGGTTATAAATCTCTCTCTCTCTCCTCCTAGGAACTGAAACATGAAAACATAGTTGCCTTGTATGACTTCCAGGTATTGCTTTACACTTACATAAAAAGAATTACTGGGAAGAGGATGAGAGCAAGACATGGGATGCTTAGATGGCCAAGGGAGTGGTCTGGAGAGAGTGTGTATTTCAGGAATAGTTTGCACGCTTTCTGAAGCTTCACCCACACTGATCTGTGTAGAATCTGTGTTGGTGCCGGCCTGCCTTTCCCAACCTGGTATGCTCTGGATGTGTTGGGCTCCAGTTTCCATGTTCCCCAGCTTACTTGGCCAGTGGCTGGAGAAAATGAGAGTTGTGGTCCACCAGAGCTGGAAGGCCAATGTGGAAAGGGCTGTTCTACTTGGACTGGGCAGAAAACAGATTTGCCTTCCTGATCTGTGGCCATGCTAGCAGGGGCTTCTGGGAGTTGAAGTTCAAAACACCTGGAGAGCTGTTTGTAGGCCAGATGGAGCAGTTTGAATGCTGTTGTAAAATGTGGGGGTGAGTGAAGGTGATGAAATTGAGTGCATGCCAGTAGGCATGTGCAATACAAGGTTGTGTGTTGTGATTGCATCTGGCTTTGAGGGCATCTGGTTTGTCACTGTGGGAACAGAAAACAGGACAAGTCTTGCCTTTAGTCTGATCCGTGGCAGCCCTTCTTGCTTTCTTAGGGCAGCCCTTCGCTTTTACACTCTTGTTTTAGGTATGCAGTTATACTGTACGTGTGTTTCACTTTGCATTTATATCCAAATGTGGATTAGAAGAATCTGGCAAGCACTGGATCCCTTCAGCCTGTGCTTTGCTCTGCTGCTTAAGTGGACTGGTTTAAATCTGTCTGTCCTTGTGGGTCCTTCTCTCAGTGCACCTTTAAACATGCACTGTTTTCTCCTTTGTGCTTTCCTTGTTCCTGAAATAATTCCTTTGATTTCTAGAAAAAAATATCTGGACGCTCCAGCCAGATTTCCCTATTAAAGCAATGTGTCTGAAAAATGTTTCTTTGCTATTAAAGGGACTCTTTGGCCCGTTGTGGTTTGCATGACAATATCATGGCTAGAATGGGGCAGATCAAGGTGCTCGCCTCCACTCTGCGCCCAGAATCAAATCCTATTTTGAATTAGATCACAGGGCTCGTTTCCACGGTGCAGCCCCCTCCTCCTCTTGGGATTACCAGCCTCGAACAGTTCCGCCTCTCCACCCCTCATCTGAGGTTTGTTGTCCTGTCTGGTGTCACGCAGTCTCCTTGTTTGTTGACATTCCAGCTATCTTCTGGGATTGGCTGAGCCAGGACTTTGCATCACTGGGTGCAACTCAATTCCTCAGTATGTTCAGTGCAGGCTGCACGCAGTGCCTTCTGGGAACTGTAGTTTCCAACACTCAGTTTTTCTTTGCTTTGCTTCGGCATGAGGACTTGCCTTCCCGGCATGCCCCGCAAAATAAGGGCTGGATGTTGCAGTGGGGGAGGTTAGGCTGGGTCAAAGAATCAGGAAGCGAATTGGTGTTGCGCAGTTTAAGCCCCCCTCCCACCCTTTTTAAAAAAAGCAGATGGGCATATTTTTCAGGCACTCCCCCCTCCCAGAAATGTGGTGCATCTTCTTTTGCAGTCATGAATACATCTTCGAATGACTGTTCTTGGATATAGTATCCCTTTGTTAGTTTGTCTTTTCTTGGTGCTGCAACAGAAAACACAGTTGTCAGCTTGTTTCTCCTTGTCATTGTTGAAAAACAGAGTTCTAGGATAGGCACAGCAGTGGATCTGCTAAACGTTGATGAACTTTTAAAATCTTTGGTGCATGTTGCCAGACAGCAGCAGTGACACCGTGATCCCCAAATGTTTCTTTCCCTCTGCAGTGTTTTCCCCGCTCACTTTGCAAAAGTGATAGTTGTACCAGGAATTGCTTTTTAAAATGTAGCATTTGAATTGGACAAGAATTCAATCTAGCGCTTGCATTTGGGCACTGAGTAATGTCGTAACGATAGCCTTCCACACCCAAGTCAGTCCCGTCCGCACGGCTGCATCTTTCTTGCGTGGCGTAGAATTTCCTGGGACGAGGACCTTCTCCTTGCCTTGGGCAGAGCCTGGCTAAGGTACTGCTGTGTTTCCGCTCGCTTTGGAGTCCTGACACCTGCAGCATCCCACTGGAAACACCTTAGCTGCTGCCGCTGCCCAGAAGACCCAGTCTGGCTCAGGTGGATGCTCCTAAGGTGGTACTCTTGATAGAGAAGAGCTGAAGCCCATTAGCTTAGTTAGTGGTCGGACAGACCTGAAGAACATCCCCGTGGAGAGGCAGAACCTGCCAGTGCACCATCGGGGCTGGGGAAGAAGCATGGTGGGGTCAGGAGGGACTTTGAGGCCTCCCCTGCCGTGCACCTTGCTGGGATTGAGAAGCGGCATGCAGCCAGTTGGGCAGATGGTTGTGTGCGCCAGCCTGTGTGGAGGCAAGGGAGGGACTCCACTGTGGCCTCTTGTCTGATCTGGTCCAAAGACTCAGGATATGAAGGGAAATAGCTTTATTCCACAAAGTTGTTCAGTGCATTTTGGCCCTGTACCATATATTTCAGGTGGTGTTGAGCGGTTAAGATGCTTTAAAAATTGCCTGCAGATGTCTCTGGAAAGAGGTCTCCAAGACATGGTGCAGCTGGTTCAGGGATGAAATGCACCGGGCTACTTCTGGGACTAAAACTATTTTGAATGACTTGAGGCTTGCTCTCTTTCCACATCATGTTAACTTAACGGCGCGAGGAGCTAGTTGCTGCCGCTTGAACCCACGACGGGAATGCAGCCTGCTACCCACGCGCAACAGTGCACTGGGGTTTGCTCACGCCTCCTGTTGTGGGTGTTGCTGAAAACGACGGGGTGTGTTTGGGGCATGGAGAGCACTGCGGTTTGTCTTGGTCTAGTATGAGGACATGGTTGCCAGCCGCCTCCAGCAGAGAACCTAACCGTGGGAGCTTGAGGGCACAGGCTGCACTTTGCAGGAGCCAGGCCTGAGTTGGCACCTGAGGATCAAGGGCCTTGGGGGTGCAGAGCAGCCAGCAGCAGCGACGAGAACGGCTGTAGACCTCGGTCCGTGCAGTTCGGGCGTCCCCTGCGCCCTCCCTGGGGATGCTGGAAGCCGCTCCCGGGACCGTCTGCAGGCGAAGGAGGTGCTCTCCCAGTTAGCCACCCCCCGCTGCCAGTGGTCCCCGCCATCCCTTCCTTAGCCCCACTCTCCTCTTCCCTGGGGCCATTGCATTCTGCTCTGTGGGGGGGCCCATCCCCATATTGCGTGGTGTGGACACACGGTCCTGCCCAAAGTCTGAGAAGCAGCATGTGCAGAGCTGGACCTCACAGTCCCTGGTGTGACTTGCAGCACTTCTGGGGTCCTGTTGGTGCAGGAGAGTGAAGGTGGCCGAGTGCCCCTTGCAGCCCAGCTGGCTTGATCCCCTGGGAAGCCCACTCTGGTCGGGGACCGGCCTCGGCCACCGTCCTGGTGTGCTGCGGGGGGCCTTAAGGCCTCTGTGTTCCTGGGAGGACAGGCGAGGCCCAGTGGAGGGCCAGCCCCTTGGAGAGGCTCAGGGCCCCTGGCCCTGGCACAGAGAGCTGCTCCCAGGAGGACCTCTTCGCAACCCTCCGCTCATGAGGCTGCCGGCCGGATCCTGGCCGAGCCTGCTCCAGGGCGGCCAGCCTGCCTCTGGGGAGCCCCCACCCAAGCCAGAAGCTCCCTCCGGAGGGCTTGCTGAGGCTTCCGTCTGTCTTGCCTCTCTGGAACGGCAGCGTGGCTTGGAGGAGCAGGGTGTGCTCCAGGCTGGAATGGTCAGGGTGACCCAGCTCCTGCGCTGCTTCCAACTCCGTGTGTTTTCCAAGGACGGCCTTCTGTTTGGGTGCGACAGCACTTCTAATCTGCCCAGTCAAGAGCAGGAGCATAGGAAACCGCTGCAGGCTGAGTCGTCCCTGCCTGTCTGGCTGAATAATTGGTTTGGGGACAGAAGGATCCTGGGCGCTTTGACATGCAAACAGGTTCTGGGCTCCGGTCTGCCGTCGTGATGTGCCCTGGGCAGTGCTGAGACACTCCTGCCCTCCCTCACAAGGGCAGGCCATTTCGAGGGATTCCCCGAATGAAATGCCAGTTCCTTGGAGCGCCTTCCTCTGCCAGGGTTTGCCGGAGGGCTCAGTGGGTCACTGGGTCCGGGATTCAGATGAAGGTATTTGGCTGCGTGCGTCCACCTTACGGGACACGCCAGATGGCTTCTCCGGCTGTTCGTGGCCTTGTGCAGGCGGCCTGGGAGTGGTCGTCTCCGAGGGAGGCAAGGGTTTTCCAGCTAGGGATTCTGTGCCTCATGCACCCAGGGGGGTGCCCACAATTCCAGGCCCCTCCCTGTGTGTGGACCTTGGCACTGACGTGAAATACGAGCTAGTTGCCAGTCCAAGCCTGGGATTGTAGGATCTCCAGCCTGAAGGCCAGGTCTGGCCCACCTGGGGTGCCGAACCTGGCTCTCCAAGGCACCCCCCACCCCATGCCCATGCCCGCCCTGCTTCCCCGGACTCCATCCCATCGCTGAGCACTGCCTGCTTGCTGCTTTCCCAGGTTTCTTTGCCGTGGCCTTTCTGTCCCTTCTGATTCTGTCTTTGGCCTGTCCAAAAACTCTTCTGAATTGGAATTTGACCCGGGGGTGAAGGAGGGCCTGCACCAAGCTTTGCCCGAGAGTTTCTCATTCTGCCTGTAGGGGAGGGATTGGTTTGAAGCCCCACTTGACCTGTGTCCTTGCACCCAGATGCTGCCACTCCCCATGTCTGAATCCCAACAGCTCTCCTTCCCTGCTTCGTCCTCTCTCCCCACTTCCTTTAGTCACAGACCCTCTGCTCTAATGCAGGGACTTCTTGGAAAGACTCCTGGCTTTCTTCCACCGTACGAAGCCACTTCGTGGCAGAAAGAGATCCCTGGATCTGTTGAGTTTCCCTTTGCTTGTAGAAAGTCCCTGGTCGCATGCCAGCACATTGTCTTGGTGGCCATGGGCTAGGCAGCCCAAGGGGCTGATTCGGTGTAAGACAAGCTCCTGATGTTCATGG